CCTCTAACTTTCATAGGACTTGGATGATACGTAGTGTGCTTAAATTTAAATTTATTCCTGGTCCCAAGAGTCCCCCAGCTTTGGAATGACTTGGCATTCCCTTGGGATGGCATCATCTCCAGCACTTGGCAGATTTTCCCCTGTTGCTGTAATTCAGTCTTTTAATACAACCCCACCCCTCTGCACACCTGCTCTAAAACTAGACTGGACTGTAAAAGTCAGGCCAACATCAGTGTACTTTAAAAGAAAAAAAAGGTCGTCCACGACAACACCTCCCGAAGCGAACAAGCATTAGCCTTTTGTTTACCGCCCGCGTGGGAACCCCCCGGCCGTCCAGCGGCTTTGCTGGCCGGCAGAGCCAGCTCGCCTGGCGCACGCGGCAGAGGTGGAGGCTGGGCAGCGGCACCTCAGCCAAGAGGGGACAGTTTGAAAGGGGCGGCACGGGGAGCTGCGACGCTCTGCCTGGACGTAGGCTTCACCGTAACCTCTTCCCGGGATCGTATCCGTTTTTAAGTGCGCTGTGCCCTCCCGAGTTTGATGGGTGCGTTGGCTTATGTTAGAACGGCAGGTTGTAGCCCAGACGGATGGAAATGAATTTTGCATCCGAAGCCTCTTCCTTTGGGCTCCCCACCGGGAACGCAACCCTCAGAGAAAGGCACCAGAAGTTGTGTGCCTGGCTGCAGCCTCCCCCTTGGTGTTTGTTTTTCCCTGGATGACAAACAAGCCATGTGAACACCCTCAAGATGTTCAGGGAATGTTGTCTGTAAGTGCCGGGGTAGATGCTTCACTGCCCGCTTCGAATTCCAGGTCCTGAGATCGACCCCTTCTGGTACGTGGTCCGCGGCGTTCGCCCCATCGGTCGCTTTGGGAAGAGGCAGCCGAGAAGCAGCCGTGGCAGCCCGAGGCCCGTGCGCAGACACCTGGATTTCACCTTGAACGCTTTGTGGGAGCAGAAAGTGTTGGGCACGGGAGACGACGACTGGTGATCTCTGTCCCCCGCCGCGGTGAG